CTAAGTTCAACAATTTTACTCCCAGTAACAGTTTTGTTGAATATTTTTTTCCCAAGCAAATTAGTTTCTTCATTTATCCATGTTAGACATTTTATCACCATGCATGGTTGCCTTTTCATGTTGGAGCTGGAAAATTTATCGAAAAAAGAAAATTACTTTTTTCGAAATTTTTGTTACACTTTATCAGCTGATAACAGTAAAGTTCAAAACTCTCAATCATAAGATGAATGATAATGAAATTGACTTTTCTCTATAAAAACTCAAAGTTCAAATCCAACTTGAAAAACTCAGTTTTCGATTCAAGTTCGTTGGAACGAAAAATTTTTGCATTTCTTTTCTTAAATCGACCTTTACAAGGTTGATATTTACTTACTTGCCACCAACAAAGAGCAACGATTACACTGCGAAAGGTTATATCGATTCTTGAGCAAATAGACGATGATATTAAAAGAATCATGAATACACGGAAATGCTGTTGGAAACGATTATTGAGATTGAAATAGCAGAGGTTTTCCTTTGTCAACTTTTACATTTTATTGTTTGTGGTTCTCTGTGATTACTTGAAATCATTATTTGAGTGAACAAATTTTATTGCTTCAGGCAAAAATAACAAATTTGCTTCATTTCATTTTCACCATTTCTTTTTTCAATTATCATTTGAGTGTCAACAGAAGCAAAAAAGGAGAAAATTTTTATATTTTTCAACCTTTTTTGCTTGCCTGAGCCAATTCATGATATTCACAAGAAAAGCATTTCAACGATTGCCACATTTTCATGTCATTTCAACTCTTTTCAAATACCATTTGTAAAGTGAGAAAAAATAGATAAAATGTTGAAATAAACGAATAAATAAATGAATACGAACAATGAGCAATGAGCTTTTACAACCTGCCTTCAGGTGAAACGAAACAAGAGGAAACAATTTTCCTTTATTTTCTGATATCAACCATTTTCTCAATTTCATCATTGTTCACTGATTTTATTTCATTACTTTGAGTTTCACTTAAAGGTGTAAAGCACAAAACAATGAATCAAAAGAAAAGAGAAACAATTTTTGCCAATAAACTTCGGTTTTCACGAAAATGACTTGAATCTTCTATCACAACCTCAACATTTCAACATGAAAATAACACTCGAAGATACGATTCAAAAGTATACGTAATAAAGGAAATTGGAATAATATCTACCAACAAATGTTACCATTAAAGATAAACTCGAAAAGGATTATCTTCGTTTCGAGCAACTTTAAATATGAATATATTTTTGCTCAAAACCAATATTGTGCTTAGAGGTAAGAAAAGTTTTGTCCAAATGCGTTTTAATGAACATCTTTTTTGTCTGTTTTGCTCTGTTGAGCGATGAAACTTTGTTAAATCTCTTTTATCTTATTTGCAGTAAAAATTTTTAGTTGAAAATTCGAGAGTATTTATTGAGCATTTAGTAATGTAATCCTCGAAATTCGCAGTTGAATTACATTTCAATTCACAAAACTTTCGAATTCCCAATTTCGATTACATCAACAGATAAAACTCCAAGAGCTAAACTTGAATCTATTTCATCATTTCAGATGCCAAATGAGCAAACAATATCCAAATCATATCATTGCTTTTCTCGACTCTCTCGAGTTGAACAATAAAGCTTTACATAAATGTTTTCATCCTGAAATTCATTTAAGCAAATTGCTTCAAAATCCAAGATTTCACATCTTCTGTTCGAGTGAAAATTGAAATTCCTTTGCAATTACGACTCTTGATCTTCTGTGTTGCAACTTCATCTAACAAGCACAAAAATATGAATGCAATGAGAAATCAGAATTTTCTTTCAATCCGTTTTTCTTGCTTCTATTAATAACAAAGTATTCAATTTGAACATCTTGATTAGCCGGTTGAATATGGAAATCAAGATCAAAGAAATGCTAATGATCATCTGTATTTGGAACTTTTTCGTTGTTTTTTTTCTTTTCGTTTGTTGACTTGATCGTTGCAACTATTCATTACAGTTTTGGTTTTCTTTTTTGGAAACTTTTCTAATTTAAAATTACCATTTATAATCAATGAGTTTAATTTACACCTTTGAGTTTATTCTTGTTTACATGTTTAATTTATACTGAAATCAAGTTTCTTCAATAATTCCAATCAAGTAATTTGCAGTTTTCCTCTTTCCATTTCCATTTGAAATGAGAAAATGATAAACACTGGCAAGAATTGAAATTCAAGATTTGAATAAATTGCCCATGAAAATGAACTCTTCATTGGAATTGAATGTAAAATTCGTAGGGAAATAAATAAACTTCCAAATTATTCAATATGCAACTCTTGATTAGACAGTTTCTTTTTCTTCTCTTCTTTTTTTCTAATTATAACAATGTTATAAAGCGAATTCCCAGTCTTCAAGTTTGAATATTGAATAGTTGTAATTTAATTAGATTTGAGTTTTGAGAATCTGTCATGATTCAGTATAAATTCATTGTGGAATGAAAAATCTTTTTTGTCTCTTTTTTTCTTATTCATTTAATAGGTTAACGATAAAGGCAAACAAAGTTAGTTAAATATTTAAAAAGATAATTATTTCAACTTTTTCTTTTTCTTCTGTCATGTTCTTCATCTTCTTTCAATGAAACATCATGTTGAGGTTGATCAAATCACATGGGCATTCAATGGAATTGCTTGAAAAGTAGAGAAAGAAAGAGGAAAAGAAGAAAAAAAAGAAACATTCACAAGAAAAGCAATTGTTATTGGAAACAATGGATTGAAATTGTTGAACAGTGTAATTGAAATTACAAAAGGCAAGAATAGAAGGTTGAGGATGAGATAGAGAAAGAAAGAAAATGTAAAGTTCTTGACTTGAGAGTCGAAAATTCTTGTAAAACTTGATTTGGAAAAGAAAAAGAACTGAATTTGGAAACAATGAAAACGAGTTAAACAAGTTGAACCCTTTGAGTTGATCAAAAGGAAAATGAATTTACTTTGAATTGCAAGTTAAACAGTCGACTAAATTGTTGAATTTGAAAGGCACAAAAGCTCTGCTGGAAATGAACTCATCAGAATCCAAATGAATGCAGTATTGAAACTGGCAAGTGTTGAATGCAAGGTAGCATTGATACCAGTGAGAACGAAAGAGAAAAATGTTTTTACGAATTCAAGTTGAAAAGTTGAGTTCATTTTTTATTTACAATTTTAATTGGAACCAGAAAAAATACAGTTTCCAAGTTGGATGAAGAGGAAGGGAAAATTGACTGGGAGTGGAAATGCTGGGAGTAGAAATGTTTCACTTCTTGATACGTAGATTGACTGGGAGTGAGGGAAGGGAAGGAAAATTCCAAGCTGGAGTTGCAAGTCAATAAAGTTTTGCCAATCTGTAGTTTCTCTCAATTCCATTGAATCTCATCTAAACTTCATCTAATTATTGTTACGATTTTCTGCCCAAATGAAAAGAGTTACTTCAACTGTTCAAAAGTTGCAAAGTTATTAATGTTGCAATTGAGAAAATCAATTATCTTGAAAACTTTCTCAAACACATGTTTTCCATTCGTTATTAATCACAATTTTCTGGATAAATTTTTCTTCCAAATAACTTTTTTTTCCTTTTCATTCTTTTCCCGAGCATCAATTACTCGAGTTTGTAGTGAAAAATGTTTACATCAAGTATTGAGTTTCCTTTTCCTGGTTCAGTGTCACTTGGAGTATTGACAGTCTTATTGATGGCTAGTTGCTGATACACGGAGTGAAGAAGCAAATGCAATAAAACAAAAGAAGTAAAAAAAGAAAACAATTGTTTGTAGATATTTTTCATTCTTGCCAACCTCAACTTGGTTCACAATTGCAAGTGAAAATGGATAGAAAAAAATGTAAATAAAAATTGTGTGAACAAAAATGCTGATGACGTAAAAAGGTTGTTGTTGAAACTCATGTGTTACTGCATTGGACTTTTATCTGAGCAAAATGTTGAATCTGTTAAAATTTGCTTTCTTTTCCTATTTTGCTTTCTCTTTTTGCTTTCCTTCTTTTTTGATTTCTCTGCCTTTTCACACAACAAAGAAAATTGTTTTCTGTTCTTAATCGTTTCCGAAGGCAATCATTTTTTTCTTATTCTACCCTCAACTCTTCAAAGTATTACTAATAACATGATATTGTTTCAGATGAAATGATTCAGGGACAAGTTTGCTTTCAAAGTTGCAACCACAATTGGCTTTGCTCGTCATTTATTTAATGGTTTACAATTGAATTAGATTTTGACGATAAAAAAAGGTCTAACATTGTAAATCAAGAAGAATGACAAAAATAGCCAATCAACAGTTTCGATCAAGAATTACACAAAAAGAAATTTTACACAATTTGTGGAAATTTTATCGAATCTTTTGGAAAAAAGTTTCAATTTTTTTTTCTTTGAAAGTTTAATCATAACTAGCTGATCAATTTTCATCGAAATTAACTTGCCATGAAAATTTAGCGCAAGTTTCAAACGAATGCAAAATTGATTACTGTTAGATGTATCCATACCTATTGTGCAACCCTTCACTTGTTTCCCCTTTATGTCTAATCTCTTGCTCAATACATTACGTATCTTTATGTTTAAATTAACCGTTAAGTTTAGTCAATCACTATTTAAACCATTTGAATATCAATAATCAGTTAAGTCTTTAAACTTCACATGTAAATACTCTATATGTTTTATATTACAATTAAACCATTCGTTTTACTCACGACTCTCAATTACACTATTCGAAGAACTCGGAAATACGTTAATGCAAATATTAATACTCATACAAGTTTGACTGTGCGGAGTTTTATGTGATCTTATAGTAACGGATTATTTAGTTACTTTGAGACTGATTGATTTTAGTTCTGCGACTGCATAGTTTTATGTTTGTTGATTTTAATTTGTATTTTTGTAATAATCTTTGATTTCGATTTTTATTAGCGAAATTGGTATTTTCTTTGAAAAAAGTTCGGTTGTGTTTTATTAATGAATAATTTTTAGAAGTTTTTTTCGATTCTTACCATATTTACTTGGAAGTAGAGTCAACAGTCCAATGATGAGTGAAAATTTAAAGACCATTTCAATGCTTGTTTAATCCTTTATCCACTTTTATCCACAAATTTTACTTCAAGAAAAGCAAAACTTTTTCTCGTGAAAAAACTTTAATCTATAATCAACTGAATCCATGGTAAACTTGAGTCACAAGGAAACTTTATTAATCAATTTGAAATGGAAACAATTGATTGGTAAAGTTGTCAGTTGCAACCGAAATCGTTGACACATTCGAGTTGAAATGAGAGACAAACTCACTGATGATGATACTTTGGTTACAAAAAGCCAACTCCAAGTTTGTTATTGAATAAAATGGTTCTCACATTTGCACGAGGAAAGGATGAACTTGCGCAAGTTTAGTTGATCAAAATGCCTCCCTGAACAAAGCGCCATCTGAAGGAAAAAAATTCTTGTTATATCTCTTATCAATTCACATTTTAACAATTACAGTTTTATCAGACAGCTTCCAAGCAGTTCATGTTAACGCACATCAAGAGTGAAAATATAATAAGTCGGCAATGTCCGATGATAAAAAAGTTCAAAGTACAAGGTGCTTTTAAAATTTAAATTTCAATATCGAACTAAGAACTGCAGCCAAATCTTTGACTTATTTCTGGATCTTTCAGACTTCATATGATTTTTATTGACGTGTTTGAAACTTTGTAATTTTTAAATTTTCTGCTTTTGTTTCAATTAAAATTCAGAGCTCGTCAATCAATTAATGATTCATGGCTTGACCTACAAATATGAATGCAGTCTAGCTATTGAATGCAACGAAGAAAGGAAAATTATGAAAATACAAAGGCAGGTTTAAACACTTAATTTAAGATCTTTATTATGAATTTTGTGACAAAAATAACTCAATTGTGATCAATAATTATTGAATCAATCATTTGTTTTTTTGTCAACTGAAATTTTCTTTACAATATTCATATTATACTGAGTTCAGAAATAATTATTTCGACTTTCAAAGCATATGCCATATTTTAATGGATTTACAGGGATAGGACCACCCTTTGGGCCGTGAAATGAAAGAAATCGTGAAATTAAATACAAAACTTAATTTCCCACATTTACATATGCACACCAATTATCCAATTTACACAGCTTATCATACGTCTTCTTACCTTTCCAAATGACATTTCGTACAAATTCATATTATTTTGTAGAAGTGAGGCTATGATTACTGTTTGCAGTTTACTGTGCATCAGATGGTTAGCTTTTTACCTGCTTCAATGGACTCATCAAAATTTATTTTCAGCAAAGGAGGATAGCCAAAATGCTGGATTTCGGCCTAAGATTCAGAATAAAATGAACCATATATCAATCGAAAGCTTATGGTATTTAGAGCATGCCTCTCCTAAGATCAGATCGAAATTCTCATCCCCTGGCGAGTTATGTGGCGATTCCCCGACACCATGATAACCAAGTCAGACTCAATTTTTCAGATAGAATTTTTTATGCTGATTTCAAATGGTGCTATGCATGTTGTGCTAAACCTGTTGCTTTTTGAGATTTTAGAATTTTAATAATTATTTCTATGAAAATAAATGTTCAAAGCCATGGTGTTTCTTTTTTACCATATGATGACACCATCAGACCTAGTACATGATGCTCAGCACCTTAAATAGTATCAGTAAATCTCTCAAAGCTGAATAAAAATTATCAGATTTACACTAAACTTTTCAATTCTAAAATATTTGAAATGAATACATAGAAACATGGAAGAAGGACCAATTCAAAATTTATTGAAATTCTTATTCTTTTACAATTCTTTGCTTATCAATGATAAATGAAACTTGCCAAAGCAATTATAAGTGTTAGTGAAAGGGTGGACATGGATGTAATGAAACTGTTGTTTATGGTAAAGAGATTGGCGAAAGTAAAGCCAACGTCACTTAATGCCATTCGAGCGATGAATATGTCATTCTAGAAGAAAAATTGGAAAGTATTAATAAAAGTTCATTTTTGGGATTAATTGAGATTCTATCATTGCCTTACTTCATGATATAGATGGATTGAGTTTAATTTGAATGATAGTTCATATAAATCTTCCAATCCTTGGCGAGATAAGTTGTTCACTGAGACCAAGTTATAAGTCAGGAGCATCAAATGAATTGTTTGCATGCATATGGATGATAGATAAATTGGTTCGATTTTTGCCTGCGGTCCAAATAATTTAACAATGTTCATGATGTTATATGAAAAGTATTCAATGTAAAATAGTGTTATAAAACAGCGAACTAATTTCTCAGCATATTTTGTCGATCGAACTGCATGACTGTATTTTTTTCTTAAGCTTCTGATTTCACGGAATGAATTAAACAGTTGATTCGATGTTTCGTTCAAAGCAGCAATTTGTGCATTGATTTCATTGAAAGCAGCATGTAAACAGATGCAAATGTTACAAACCATGTTGTACAGGAATAATGATCCAAATACGATGAAGATTTCATCAATAATAAGAAGAGTTACTCTAGTTGTGCCTAGTATTTTCATGTATGGTGAAACGTAGACCATCGAAAGTATAGAGTAGCAAATAAAAGATGCAGCAAGAATATTGAGATTCAATCGCCGATTCCGTTTGATTTTACCCACAGTTGCGCTATTAAACTCAATGGATAGTGGCTCAACAGTAGAAATAAATTTTTTAAAATAATCCGGATTAAAGCCAAACAAAACCACGAAAACTTTGAGTGACAAAATGATTAAAAAAATGCAGGGATCAACCCACTCAAAGATCGATATCTTTGTCGTGTAACCGTAATTTTGAAAAACATCAATAGAATAAACGGCAATTTTGAAAGCAGGACAAAAAGCGATGGTAAACAACAGGAAAATTTTGGTTACTGGTCCAAGTATGTATTTGGAGGGTAAAATGTACCCTTCGAGGATAATTTGCTTGGGTGGATCCGATCTTGTTGGTGAGGACATTTCAACTGTAACTTGCGGTGTTTGCACGAAAAATGAGTAGTTTTCTTGAAATCAGTTTGACGAAAGGCTCTATTCTAATTTGCTTAGTTCAAATGGGAACCCAGGGGTCTTCGATCAATTTATGGCTTAACTAGCATATATCAATAAAATGACCAAAGAAAATTGGGAAAACACAAAGGAAGGTTTAAATCATCATTGATTTTTAATTTATAATCAAAGTTATTGTGCACTTTACGACGCATTTTAATCTTGATCCAATTGTAATCAAAACTCATTAAATCAATCATTCAATTTTCTGTCAAAAAAAACCAATGGAGTATACATATTGTATTGAGAACAGAAATAACTATTCCAACTTATGACAATTTACATTGATTCAAAAGGATAGTGAATTTATTGGTCCCCTAATGAGAGCCTTGAAGATATTTATCACATTTATCTTTTTGAGCGAATATGTATTGACCGCAGTTTTATCGATTAAAAGCAGTTTCAGCCCTTCACTGACACACGGGTGCATATTCGACTGCACCCCGAACGAAATTTTCCAAACCAACGTTGAGTTGTCCGTACACTGATTGTTCCGCCACCTAAAACGTTCATTACCTTTTTGTATGACCTCAGTTGCATTATGATCTGAACTGAACTCAGAAAACAGGATTTAACAAATTTCAATGATTTCACGCCATAAAAACAACCATTTGATTGAAAATATTTGTCTACCACCTGAGTAAATAAATTCTCAGAATACAATTCCGTATTCGAAATTCGTATTCGTTGATAAATGAAACTTGCAAAACTTGCAATTATGATGATGAATGAAAGGCTAATCATCGATGTGATGAAACTGTTGTTTATGGTGAAGAGATTGGTGAAAGTGGAGCGTAACTTAATATGGAAAGAATGTCATTGTATGAGGAAAAATTAAAAGTAATGTAAAGATTTAAAATTGATAGTGGTTCTATTATTGACTTACTTCATGATATAAACGGATTGAGTTTAATTTACATGAAAGCTCATACAAATCGTCCAATCCTTGGTGAGATAAGTTATTCATTGAGACAAAATTATAAGTCAAGATTAGCAAATGAACTGTCTCGGTCAATATGGCTAATGGACGAACTAGATCAATTTTAGTCTGCGATCTGCGTGATTTAACAATATTTATAATGTTATAAGAAAAGTATCTATACATCTATACATCTATACAATATATAAAGTCAAAGCATCAAATTTTTGCGTCAAGAGTGTGGTCGAACTGAGCGGGTTCTAACAAAAAAAATTACACTGCGTGAAAGCCCTAATTCAACTACAACGACGAAAAATAGGAAAGCTGTCCTCAGAATCTCATGACCTCTGAGAAATTCATGAAAATAGAGACTGGGGGAAAAAATGTAGAATCCGTATTCAATAACATTGATAGAGGGGGAAAAACTTTTTGTTATTTAGGTTTATGGTTGGTTGTTGACCAGAATTTTATGTAAAACTTTGTCATTTGAGTAAAGAGGAAAGAGGCACCGACTTTTTTCACCAGTTTTTTACCGTCTTTTCACCGTATTGTTCACCATATTGTCCACCACTCAATTCAACACATCTACCAAATCAACCAAATCAACAAAATCACTTTTTCAAAAAACTTTTCTCAACAAAATTGTCTATCACTTTAGAGTGGCTTTTTAGACGGGAAAAGACGGTTAGCATGGTTGGTTAAAAGAAATTTACGATCAGTCATGATCGTGTCTCAGCTTGTTATATTTAAAGTAAAACAATGTTATGAAGTATCGAAACAGTTTCTCAGCATCTGTGCCGATCGAACTGCATAACTGTATTTTTGTCTTAAATTGATTAAATTAAGCAAACAATTGATCAATGTTTTGTGCTAACTAGCGATTTCTGAAAAAGTGTTTCTACTTTTCAGGCAACGAGTATCAAAAGTCAATTAGAGGTCACATATCTGAGCTACCTCGAACGCCCTTGAGAAATTTATTGTTCTTCATTTTTTAGCATTTGGTTGACTGAGCATCATAGATCTGACCAGTGGTTCAAAAGTTATTAACAAACGACCGTCAAAGATAAATCAGCAATTATTCGTTAGACTATGGGATCAGATTTTTTTTCAAAAATACATTTTTTGAGTTTCATGGTAACCATAAGCTATAAAAATACATTTTTTACTTAATTTTTAACTGTTGATTGTTGTACATTCAATTTTACACTAACTTCATGCAAACTGTATGAATTTTAATCTTTTTAAAAATCAGCAATATCAATAAAGTGACGATAAATAAACTGAATCAAGAGACGATTTTGATGCAATTAAAGCGATTCACCAATATACAGAAGATCGATCTAGAAAATGAATGACTAGTTTTAGATTAGTTGGATTATGCATTAGGGTTTAATTTCATAGAATAAGATTGTTTAGAGGAGTAAGGTTGTGTAAGGGTTATTAGGGTTAGATGTTAGATCGCCTCTTCAAAAAATTCTGTCAAATTCTGAGACTGTTCATTTCTGGTTACAGATATTCACAGTGCTTCCCTCTATTGGATTACAGTCTAATGATCAATATCTAACAAGAAAATCTGCAGTTTATTTGTGGTTTCGAAATATGAAATTTTAAATATCGACTGTTTCACTGGTTGACCATGTCATACAAAGACTGTTGTTTACAATCAAATAGAAAATCACTAAATTCTACTGAGAACAAGCATTAAGCATAAAATCTTATGATAGCATCTTATTGTCTTTAGTAAAGCTCAATTGACTCATCCAAGGGATGTTATTGTTTCTTGTTTCAATTTTCTTATTGAATGGAGATTAAACTACTGATAACGATGGAAATGTTCAATAGAAATCGCAAAGGACGAGGACAAAAAGAATAGGGAAAACGGCCTAGCTAAATTTTCAGGGATGAACCAATTTTCTTAAACTAACTTTTGTAGCTGAGCTTAGATATGCGATCCATTTTTTTGTATTCGAAGCCGTTTTCGAGAAAATGGCCTTAAATTTTTTTTTATTTGAAACAAAGTTTTTTAGATTGATTTTATCATGCTGATCATAGATATTTAATCGGTTTCTGGATTGACTTCGTAGTTGCTGAGATAAGTTGAAAATCGTGTTTAAAACCATTGAAACAATACCTAATGATAAAGCAAACCTGAAAATGAGAATGACAAAGTGCGTGAAGCCAAACAGAAAACAGATTTTATCCATCTTTACCATAAGAGCTTTCTATTGGTGCAAGAAAATTTCGAGAAAAAATCCGCAAAACTAGCTTACTTCTGATAAGTTTGAATTTTTAAACGGAAATTGATCTGTAGGTTCAAGAAATAGTTCGTGAAGCCAAACAAAAACCAGATTTTATTACTCTAAATGATAAGAGCTTTCTATTGGTGAAAGAAAATTTCAAGAAAAAACCCGCAAAACAAGCTTACTTCTGATAAGGTTGAATTTTTAAACGGAAATTGATCTGTAGGTCCAGATCATAGATCTGACCAGTGGTTCAAAAGTTATTAACAAACGACCGTCAAAGATAAATCAGCAATTATTCGTTAGACTATGGGATCAGATTTTTTTTCAAAAATACATTTTTTGAGTTTCATGGTAACCATAAGCTTATAAAAATACATTTTTACTTAATTTTACTGTTGATTGTGTACATTCATTTACACTAACTTCATGCAAACTGTATGAATTTTAATCTTTTTAAAAATCAGCAATATCAATAAAGTGACGATAAATAAACTGAATCAAGAGACGATTTTGATGCAATTAAAGCGATTCACCAATATACAGAAGATCGATCTAGAAAATGAATGACTAGTTTTAGATTAGTTGGATTATGCATTAGGGTTTAATTTCATAGAATAAGATTGTTTAGAGGAGTAAGGTTGTGTAAGGGTTATTAGGGTTAGATGTTAGATCGCCTCTTCAAAAAATTCTGTCAAATTCTGAGACTGTTCATTTCTGGTTACAGATATTCACAGTGCTTCCCTCTATTGGATTACAGTCTAATGATCAATATCTAACAAGAAAATCTGCAGTTTATTTGTGGTTTCGAAATATGAAATTTTAAATATCGACTGTTTCACTGGTTGACCATGTCATACAAAGACTGTTGTTTACAATCAAATAGAAAATCACTAAATTCTACTGAGAACAAGCATTAAGCATAAAATCTTATGATAGCATCTTATTGTCTTTAGTAAAGCTCAATTGACTCATCCAAGGGATGTTATTGTTTCTTGTTTCAATTTTCTTATTGAATGGAGATTAAACTACTGATAACGATGGAAATGTTCAATAGAAATCGCAAAGGACGAGGACAAAAAGAATAGGGAAAACGGCCTAGCTAAATTTTCAGGGATGAACCAATTTTCTTAAACTAACTTTTGTAGCTGAGCTTAGATATGC